AAAAGATTTGATGCATCCAATTCATTTTTAAAAGAAAGTTTTATTTTTGCATTTTGAATTGCATTATACAAATTTTTTTTGTATATTTTTCGACCAGGAAATTTGCCTCTTAGAAGTTGTCCTATATTCCGTGCTCTGGTTATACTATGTGTTACACAAAAGTCAACAAATTCTATCATATCCTCTTCTAACTTACAGTTGTACACAATTGTAGTTGATGGTGCTAGTGACATTGGATGGTTATGAGAATTCTCAACAGTAGTAAATGTGACAACTAATGATAATTTGGGCATGTTTTCATTAATTTTCCATTCACATCCAGTACATTTTGACCTACGATTTCATTGATCTTCCGGATTTAAAACTTTTTTGGGCTGGTATTTACCAGCACAACTGCATTCTCAACTAATTTTATGCATAACTTCTATGCCATCTTCAATACACGTTTCAATTCGTCTTTTCCGAATGCTAAAGCTCTGTTCTAATGCATATTTTTTCAAAAAAGTTTCGGCGTCATCTCACATTTGAAAAGTTTGATTTTTATAAATTTTTAATGCTGATTCTTTATTTTCTTCTTCAGAAGAATCAATATCAAATATTTCATCAACTTCGGCTTCAGGTTCATAAGGTAGGCTTATGAGAGACGGCTCTTTCTCAAACTGTTCACTTTCATAGATTTGTATATCGTTTCTCAGCAAACTAACATTACTTTCTTCAACACTATTGCCGGTTTGTGGTAGATTCATAGTGTATTAGGCAAAATATATAAATGGACTTTCTTTTGTTTAATAATTTGGGGTGAAGCAAAAAAAAAAAAAATCAACATACAAATATGCAATAAATGTTATGTGAAAACTGCTGCAACTATAATACACATAGCGTGTTCATAAATGTTCTTTGGGTATTTATTTATATGTTAATCATTTTTTATGTTGGTTTTTAAGCTAAAGAAGTTCGATTATTGTATTTTTGCTTAAGCGAAAAGATTTAGTTACGAAATTTGCACTAAAGTGAAAGAGCGAAAAAGCAAAAGTAGTATAGTTACTTTCGATCAAATATATTTTTATTTAGGTTACATTAATCTGTCAAAATAAACTATTTGTATAACATGTTTATGATCGGAGTTTTATCTTGCATATAAGTATGACATTGGGCACATGATTATCAGGGGATTTCCCTCCTGGTTAATCGTAGTTATTCTTATCAAAAAGTTATCAAAATATAAACAAAAAATCAGAGAGGTCAAGATAAATTATCTATACCCTCCAGGAATAGGATAAACTACGTATACCCCCTGAAACAGGTTAAGTTTTCTCAGTATCACTACCAAAACATTGCAGTCATATGACAATGATAAAATTCTTAAAATTCATTAAGGTTAGGGTTAGCGGTATATTATGGTTAGATGTTAGTACAAATATATTATTAAAATCGCTCAAGGAATTTTTTTTGTTAGTGCACTAAAGGTGGTTTCCTATACAAGATTGCAATTTTTGGAAAAATGAGCGTTTGTTTTGATTTTTTCTGATTATATAACATTATACCTGATCTTGAAATCTTATTGGTTTGCATCACAAAAATATTACGTAACTGCAACTTTTTGGTGGCGATAGCAAGAGTTAAATACTTGTAAATTATATCATGAAGATAAAATACAAATCTTTTATTTTTTTTCACTTTTATTCTATTTTTCGTTCTTTGCAGCTTTCTTTATCTAATCTTGTAATGCATTTGAAGAATTGCTTTTCAAATATCTTAGCAAGTTGGCTAATAGGCATAGAGACTTTGATTTTGGTATAAAGGTTTTACAAGATCCAGCAAATATAAGGCTATACAAATTTAATTCATAACCAGGCCAGATCAAATTTTGAAAATTTTAGAAGAAAAATTTTTTATATATTTAAAAGCCAGGTAGGGTTTTAAAAAAAATTTATAGGTAATAGACTCTTTCCGTCAATCACTTACACCAAACCAAATCTAAAAAACAACAAGACAAAAATAACTACAACTTCTTAAATTATTAAGAAAACTTACTTTGATGCTCTAAGTAAACT